GGCGCTGAAGGGTATGACGCTAGGTGTGAGATAGGCAGAGGCTCTCTGCCTAATTAGGATCGAGCGTGGGTTTTGCCATGCTAGGCACAAGAGAGTGAAGCACTCTCTGTTTCAATCACTCCAGGCGCGAGTGGTGCGACGTTGGGCGTGTGTGAGACAAGGAACTCTTTGTCTCAATGGCTCCAGGTGCCATTTGAGTAGCATAAGGCGTGATATCCTTGGATTATCTTTGATGTTTTATTGATGAATATTGTTGACCATGTTGTATGTATGATGATATATAATGATGAATACTTATGTTGTAAGTTTATAAATTAGTTGATGATGTTAAGATGCAAGTTGTATGTTGTATAGTTGTTAAGTTGTAAAATTATAGACATGTGGTTAAGATACATGTCTTGATTAAGATACATAGATGCTATAGATGAATTATGTTGTTTTTAAAGTTGATGTTCCCTTTAGGGTCTATGTGGTTTGATATGGAGGTAGTCGAACCATATCCTAGTTGAATGACTAATTGAGTAATGTACAAAGTTGGGGACTTGGCCTCTAACTTAGTATTGAAAGGTTGTGGTATATGGAGGGTAGTCGGTGGAGTAATCTCATATTTGGCTTAGTGTTGCAAACTAATGTCGTCGTATGTCCATACCCAAATTGTTTTACCTTGACATAGTACCATACTTCCTAGTTTAAGTGGCAAAAACTTGAGAAATCAAACTAAGTTGTCTATACTTGGCCCTTTTTGAGGCTAGACGTTGTCCTATACCTAACCCGGCTAAGATAGGTCTAACGATGTGATTCAATAGGGTCAATCCACTTAAACTGCTCATCTATGTTGTAGGAGATCTCCTAAGTTGATATGTGTGACGACACCTCAGTAGTTAATACTTGTAAGTTAAGATGTTGATTATAACAAAGTTGATAGATATTGAGCAATTTGTTAAGTTGTGAGTTGTGTTGTTGTTGATATATGCTTTACTACCTTTGTGTTATTGTTGTATTTTTTTTTTTGTAAGATTACCCTTCTTTTCCTTGTGGTTGGAACTACAATGACCATATTGGGTATACAAGTATAGTAGGATTAGGTGGGAAGCTGGGGTGATGGTAGTGAGTCACACTGGAGATGACTTGTTTTGTGTGGTTTTTCTAGTAGAGTCATGTGTTGGAGTCCTTAACTAGCCGTCTAGGGGATCTTTTGTAATAATTTAGACTCTGATGTATATTGTTTATGTATTAGATTTATCTATGTTGTATATATTTCATACATTTTACTTTATGCATGTTTAGCTTTCGCTTAATGTTGATTTTCAACATTAAGTGAGATGACCTGTCGAGTCATTACAAGTTTAATTTTAATTGTATGAATAAAATTTCTTTATATCACATTTTTATCTTTCATGTATACTAGCATTTTACCTTGTGTAGTGCATAAATTAAATGTTTATTTTATATAATTAAAGTTTTAAAAATATCATGAAATGTAACACTATAATTTGTGATTAGGTTATATTACTACTAGTCATTTTATACTATAAGTTGTTAATCAGTGTTGAAAGACTTGACGGTTTAAGGATCCCTTAGGAGCTTTAGTGGAGTTGAGAGGGACTTTCTCTAGATAGAGATTCAATTCAATCCCAGAGGGAAGAGTATATAAGGTTTATATTTGAATAGAGTCTCATAAACTAATTTTCCTTAGAAATCTAGAGAGATGGTCTCTAGTCTGTGAGCTCTTTTTCTCTCAATCTTTTTCTCTTATTCTTTCAATTCTTTTCTAAGTTGTGTTGTTGTGATTCAGCTGGTGGAAACCTTGAATCAAGTAGTTGATTTCATTACAAAGTCCCGATCATTATTTTCTTCTACCTTGGACCCAAGCTACCTCGAGGTAAAGGAAGCTAGAAATTTGTGTGTGTTGGATGAATTAAGGGTTGGTAAACCATTTTTGAGTTATGTATAATGTGAATCTCATTTGTGTATGGCTGTGTTGGTGAATTCAAGAGGGAAACATGTTGGAAAAAGGGTTTTTGAGTTGTTGTCCAAATCATTGATTCATTGCCAAATCTTGTTTGGGTGTTGAATTGGAGTACATTTTTTAGTTAATTGTGATGTATATACTTATTTTTTTTGTGTTGAATGTGTTAGAAACTTGTTGGATTTTAGGTTGTGGCTTAAAATCAAATTCTACATATGTAGAGTTCTGATGTCGCACTGGGTGTGCCTTCAAGGTGTCAGGCACTAGTCTAACTCGAGGCTCTCTGTCTCTATCACACCGATGCATGATTAGTGGCGTTAGGTGTGAGGAGAGAGACTCATCTTGGGTTGGAGCAACGTCAAGCATTGTTTGAATGGTGATAGCCTAGCGAACCTTGAGAGCTCTTTAACTTGGTGACATTAGACCCAAAGTTGAGTGGCACCCAACGTGGCCAAGTTAGAGCTCACTGTGTAGATTTTGTCAAGCACTAATGTAGTGATGCCACGTGAAAATTAGGTAGAGACTCTCTACTTGAGATGAGGTCGAACATGGTGCTTTTACCATGCAGGTGTGAGGTCTCAAGGACCTCTTCCTTAGCCACTTTGGATGTAGGTTGTGTAGTGTTAGGTGTGGGTGAGGTAGAGAGCTTCCTACTTGGATGGCATCAAGTGCATGGTGTGTAGCACCGAGTGTTGGCTACTTAATAAAAACATGATGATGTAGTTGATGAAGTGTTGATTACTTATTGATTGAAATTGTTAAATAAAAATATGATGAATGAGTTGTAGAGATTAAGTAGTATGTGATGATTTTGCAATGAGTTGTTAGTTGAAAGTAGAAATGAGTTGTAAGTTGTGTGTTAACACAGTTATATGTTGAATATGTAGTTGTGTTGAATATATGATGCGTTGTTGAGATGTATGTTGATGAAATAGTTGAATATAAGCAGTGATGATTGAGTTGTGAGATGTAAAGTTATATGTTGATTTCGTCATTGTGTTGAATATATAAAAAGTTGTTGATTTGTTGAGTTGTGTTGATCACTTAGTATTAGAGTAGGGGTTTTCAAAAGTTTCATATTCCATTGTGTGGATATTATGTTGTGGCACTCCGAGAGTCTAAATTGTTGAAAACCATTCTTGAGAAGTTGACCCATGAAGTAGATGTTGTGTTGTTTCTCCTCTAGGACTTTGTTAGTACCGTGTGTGGGCAAGTCATGACACACATGTATGAAGTGACTATAGTATAGGGGTTAGGACGAGTTATACTGATTACATGTGACCAACCGAGTAAAGTTCAAAGTTGAAAACCTAATTTCTAGCCGAGTATCGAAAGGACATAGTATTTAAAAGGTATTTAGTGGACTAATCTCATAGGAGACTTAGTTAAGCTAGTTAATGACGTGGTAGGTCCATACCTAGTTGTTCTACCCTAATTGTAGTACAAGACTTCCTTGTTTAAGTGGTGACATCCGAGAAATCAATTTGATGTGTTGTGAATTTATATTCAATTTTTTGTTGATCTAGTAAGCCCAAAAAATACCCTATGTTATCTGTTCTGTAGGGTCAAACCACTTAAACTACTCACCCTATGTTGTAGAAGATCTCTTAGTATAAATGTGTGACGATACATTATAGTTGTTGTGTTAAGCATATGATGTGTTGAATATATGATGTGTTGAGTTGAATTGTGTTGTTCATATGATGCCTTATGATGTATTATTGGAAATGAGATGATGATATGATACTCTTATGTTGAATATAAGTTGTTTCTTTTTACCCTAATTTACCCTTACATGTTTTTATGTGGTTTGGATTACGATGATTATACCTGATATGGAAGTCATATAGTGACATTGGAGCTGGATGTTTTGTTGACTATGTAATGAGGGTAGATTTGTATAGATAGTAGTTGTTGTTTGACCGACAACTTACGATTATAATTTACATTTATTGGATTATTGTTTTTATAAACATATTTATTTAGTTGTTTACTTTTATATGCATGCAATATAGTACATATTTTCTCATATTTGTAAATGTATAGTCTTAAGTTAGATATTTTTAACTGCTAGTAGCTGTGTCGTATAAGTATAAGGACTAAGGCGTGTCGTTACATGAATATCATGTTTAAATATATAAATTATATTTAAAATTTGAATAACTATATTTTTTAAATATAAAAATTATATTTTAGATTTATGATAAATAATTTATATTGTAGCATAAGATTATTTTTATTTATTGATAACTTAATTTTAACATTTAATTCACAAATAATTATTATAAATTAAAAATGAGTTTGATGTGAAGTTAAAATTTTTTTTAGAAATCTCTTGTCAAATAAATTTTTTTTAAAAACACTCTTACATAAAATAGACATTTTTGTTTTATATATAAAAATTGATTTAGAGTAAATTAGATCTAATTACCAAAAGAAAAAGGTAAGTTAGGATTTTAATTAAAAAAAGTGAGTTAAGATTCTCTATTTTTATAATATTAAGTGTATAAATAACATTAGATATTAATTATAAAAAAAAATAAAAATGCATGTCCATTATAAGTTTGAGTTGAAAATATGAACATTTTTCTATGTGAAATTGTTTTTGTTTAATCAATAAATAGATTTGTGTTTGGTGAGATTATTTTTGTGTTTAATCGACAGTTTTAAATTTTAGTTTTGAAATTAAAATATTTGAAGAAAGAACTTTTGTGCATATTCCCTCTAAATAACTATTTATAATAATTTATTCCATTATCTTTTTATATACCTCTACATAACCGTGATCTCAAATAATAAATAAAAGAGAAATAAATGAATATTTATCTAAAGCCATATTAACTAATTATTCAATGCGAATTAGGAATTAGGATTATTTAGGCAGAATCGAAAGAAGGTAAATAAGAGGGGCATTTAGGGAAAACAATAAATGCAGGCAACTTCCGAGAAGCAACGCGCGGGAGGAATGCAAGCAAATCACACATGACATGGTTGGTTGTTTGGTTGGTTCCGCATCGCATTCTTGTGTTTTTGTCTCAGCAAGTGAACGAGGGACCACTTTTCCCCACACGTTTCAAACACGCACGCACTCCACCATTCCTCTCTATATCCATTCATCTCTTTCTCTCTTCTCTCTCTCTCATCGTCACCATTTCGCTTCTCCTGCTGTGACATTGGTCAACAGAGGAACACCAGAATGAGCGCCAAGAAGCCGGTCAGACCTCGTACCCGCGTCGGAAGGTACGAGCTCGGAAAAACCATTGGCGAGGGAAGCTTCGCTAGGGTCAAGTTCGCAAGGAACGTTGAGAACGATAGCCATGTCGCCATCAAAATCCTCGACCGAAATCACGTCCTCAAACACAAGATGATGGAACAGGCACGTCGTCTCTTCATTTTTTTTTTCTTTCCTTTTTTTAAAGTTTATTTCCATTTGTTTAAGGTTGCTCTTGCTCATTTGTCATTGCTAATGCATGAGCTTTTTTTATGTAGTTTGTGTTCCTTGTGCGTAGAATTAAAATTATTGAGCTTATATGCTTTTCTTTTTTAATCTTTTTGTGTTTGATGTTTTCAGTTGCAGAAGGAAATTTCAGCGATGAAGATGATCAATCACCCGAACGTTATCAAAATCTACGAGGTATTACGCAGTTTTCTTAATTTTCTTTTTCTTTATGAATAAGGGGAAGTGTTCGATCTTTGAACGTGCCAGCTAGAAATTAAAATAGTTATAAATTAGTATTGGAATGACGTTTGCATAATGATGCTTCTTTATTTCAATTCAAAGAAATCCTTCATTATAGGGCAACATTTTTCTTTGGTAATAATTGTCTTACCAGTATATCAAAACAAGCAATGAAACTCAAGCATCTGATATGGGGTCTGTGGAGCACGTGATAATGCAGCAGATTTTGGCGCCCGTAAATAAATAAATAAAAATAAGGTTAAGCTAATAGTGTTTGGTACCCAAGTGTGTGCCCAATATTGATTTAATTATATAATATTTATGTTTGTACTTTATATTTTTTACTCACTTTATAGATACTTTTTACTGTACTTCTAAGTTTAATTATTAAGTATTGTATGGTAATTTTTTATAATATTAATTAGCCACAATTTTTTTTTAGAATAATTTTAAAGTAATTGTTATTATAAAAAGTCAATACTTATTTTATATATAAATTTATAGTTAAGTGATAGTTTAAAAAATGTTTACGCTATCTGTTTATTTTAATTAAATTCTATATTTTTATTACTTTTTCATTTTTTTTCATACGTTTCTATTCTCTTCTTATGTGTGTGTATATATCCAGAAGAGGGGAATAAATCTTTGAAAATTTTATGAATTTTATTCAAATATATTATATCATTCGATCAAAATTGTTATATATAATAAACTTATTAGTTTTTATGATTGATATTTTAAAAAATTATCTACAAACTGATTGCTGTACATATTAATTAAATTCTAATTATATTATGCACCAAGCGTTATTTTAATTAAATTGACCTTCATATTCATCGCATCCATATGTATCGGTTCTTTTTTGAAACTTGAAAATGACGTACATGTTGCTGTCTATAAAAAAAAAAATGATTATTGTACATTTTAATTAAATTTTAATTATGTTATGCACCAAGTGTTATTCTAATTAAATTGACCTTCAAATTTATCTCATCCATATCCATTGGTTCTATCTTGAAACTTGAAAGTGACTTGTGGCTGTCTTTTCAAGGTTTACTGACATGGTACTGATAAACTGAACCCGAAAGGCTGAATCATTGCTGAAAAATCCCACCAAAAAAGTGAACGAAAAGAAATGAAATAATGCATTACGAAATTTCAATTTTAAAATTATAAATAATTATATTTTTAAACAAAAATATTTTTATTAATCTATTTACTTATTGCATAAATATAATAGTGAATACTTTTAAATTTTTTAGACATAAATAATTTTATTTTTCTTTAACATTTTATTTATTAAATATTTTAAATTTATAAAATGATAGTTTATTGTTTCTCTAAAACCATTGTGGAAATTGACCGACTTTAGTTGCCATTATTTTGATGGTACCTAAAATACAATTTTATTAGTATTTTAGTTTTTTTTTGTGAATAGTATTTATTTTATTTAATACATGATAAATATTTATATTTATTCTTAAATTTGTAATAAATAAGTGTTTTTAAATATATAAATTGTATTTTAAATTTATAAAAGTTAATTTATGTTGTTTATAAACTTATTTTAATTAATAATTTTTTTAAAATTATTAAAATTTAATTAATAAAATTATAATTAAAAGAGATACGAAGAAAATAAAATACGAGGATAGATATAAGGAGAGTAATTTGAGAAAATATTTTTTGGGCTAATTGTCAAATGAAATTAAATTTAAAATTACAAATAACTTTGAAAGAAAGAAAAATAAATGCTCAATATATAAAATTAGAATAAAAATATAAGATATGCAGTTAAATAAGAGTGAAAATAGCTCTTAAAAATATTTTATTTAATAATATTCATTTGTATTATTTATAAGTCTTGATTGAATGCTAAAAAAACTTTTTTATTTAAAAAATTAATCTAAAATAATCCATAAGTTTAATAACATATTTAAACTTTTATATCATTCTTTTAAAAAAAAAATCTTATAATTTATCGAACTTAAAAAACTACTTTAATAATAAATGTGTCAGTTCTTAAATTCAATAAATAAATCAGACTAAATGGTTAATTTGATACTTAAAGTTGTATGACATCCTAAAATCAAAGAAAACTCAGATAAAGAAATCCTGAACTTATAAAATTAATTATTTCTTTAGTTCCTAAACACACATTATTATCACTCAAGTCTTTTAGACTAGGGAATAAACTACAATAAGAATAAATTAATTTAAAATTTTAAATAAAATCATAAAAAATTCGAAACATTTTTTATTTCTAGTTTCAGGATTATATGACAAAGAGGTACAAGAACTAAATTGATGATTTACTTGGTACATTGAACTACTATCTCTTTAAAATAAGCTTAACTAGACGTGACCCGTTTTAATTCATTCAATGCCCTAATTCTTGTTACACTCTCCTACGTAAACGTTCCTTCTTTTATGGTTTTGTGTTGGAATGCGTACTAAAGTCGTCATCTTATAATATGTTTGTGATAGTTAGCATAATAATCAGCGCAAACGACACCATTGGGGGATATAATTATTTTGATTTCTTATTATTCCAATCCGTTCCATTCAATACACACTATATTCGAAGGTGGTAAAATAACCTCAACTACTCACATATGAGAACCCCAACTTGAATTCAAAGCAAATTTTAGGGGTGTTCGTTTGAAGTTATCTTATTATATTCTCAGGAATACATGGATAAGAATATGTTTTCTCATTTTTGGTATAAGGTTACAATTTATATATATTCTTGGTGATATAACATTTTTGAGAATGAAATAATTTTCATATTCCTATCATTTTATTTCCAAGGGGAAGTGAGTAAGTTGATTCTCACGATGTAACAATAAGTTTTTTTTTTTTTTTATTCATTTTAACTTTCATCACATTCACTTTCATACAAACATTCCCATTACTGACCAAACACATTTTTTTAAAATACACGGTAATGTCATTCCCTCCCCATTATTATAATAAAAGTTGATAACCTTTCTCTCCCCATGTGTGTACATGCATGTTATGAATGTTTTCATAGTCATTAACCTTTCTCTGTTTAAGCATAGGTCATGGCAAGCAAAACAAAGATTTACATTGTCTTAGAGTTGGTTAATGGAGGAGAACTATTTGACAAAATAGTAAGTTGCTCATTTGTTTCATATTATGTCTTTCTTCCTACTATTTTCTTTCTTTCTTGTCTTTTTCTCTTTATGTAGGAGGGTATTGGAATAATTATAAGTACATTACTATTTTCGTCGATCTTGCATATAAATGACTTGGTCTCTTAATTTGATTTAGGCTACAAACGGGAGACTTAAAGAGGATGAAGCAAGAAGTTATTTCCATCAACTAATCAATGCAGTTGATTACTGCCATAGTAGAGGCGTGTATCACAGAGATTTGAAGGTATATCGTTCACCATAATCCTCCCCTCTTATTTAATTAACAGATTGATAAGTCATATGTGTGAGTAGGAATCAATTATTATTTTTTATTCTTTTTTGAGTTAAATTAAGGGTCAGACTCATTCAATATTTAATATACTTTGCAGCCAGAGAATCTTCTTCTCGACTCAAATGGTATTCTAAAAGTTTCAGATTTTGGACTCAGTACGTACGCACACCAGGTATATACACACATATCTCATCTGTTTTACAATTTGCTTGTGTGTATGGTATGGATTTCTGATTTAGTACACTTGCTCAAAGTTATATCTACGTTTTACTATTTGGCCATAACATAAGTAGTAAGAACTATTAAAGTATTAAGTGTTGAAAACATCCCCCATTAGTTGTTACTGACACAGTGGAATTCCTTCTAATGTTGTTGGGAAAAATTGTTCATTTGTATGAAATTAAGACCTTGTTTAAATTCTTGATTATTTGTTGCAGGAGGATGAACTCCTCCGCACTGCTTGTGGAACTCCAAATTATGTTGCTCCTGAGGTACCTACTTTACATTGTAGTGGATCAAATGGAGAACTAGATTTATGATTTATCCCTCAAACTGCAATAAATGTAATGTGGTGTGCCATTTGTTTTAGGTGCTTAATGATAGAGGTTATGTTGGTTCTGCATCTGATATTTGGTCTTGTGGAGTCATTCTTTTTGTGCTTATGGCTGGCTACTTGCCCTTTGATGAGCCAAATCATGCTGCATTGTACAAAAAAGTAAGTAATTTCTTAATATAATCCATGAGAAGAATGAAAGAAAAGTCGCGTATGTCTAATCCTGAACGTATGTTCCAGATTGGCAGGGCCCAATTTGCATGTCCATCATGGTTTTCCCCCGAGGCAAAGAAACTATTGAAGCGTATTCTTGACCCAAACCCTTTAACAGTGAGTTCTGAACCAAAAGCTTTCTTATTTTTACATGTATTCCCTTCCCTTCTTGGGCCCTTACTCTTGTTGTTGTCTTGATTCTGTTTGTTTTGCTACTCATCCTGTAATTACCCTTTAATATCTTTTATGTAGTTAAAGTAAAGAACATTTTGTTGTTGGCATGTACTTCTCGATATTAATATTGGGTTACTTTTTGCAGAGGATAAAAATTCCTGAACTCTTACAAGATGAATGGTTCAGAAAAGGTTACAAACCAGCATCTTTTACAGAGGAAGAGGATATCAATGTAGATGATGTTACTGCTGCTTTCAATGATTCTAAGGTACTGTGTTTTTCACAATATTTATATCTCCTTTTTTATTATTATTTTAAAGAAACTACATGCACTTTGATTGTTATAATATGGAAATACAAGAAGGATTCTGTAGAAGCTGAACCACGTGTAATTTATTTGTTCTCTTTGATGTGTAGGAAAAACTGGTGACAGAGAGAAAAGAGAAACCTGTGTCAATGAATGCTTTTGAGCTTATATCTAGGTCACAAAGTTTCAATCTTGAAAATTTGTTTGAGCAGCAGACAGTAAGTAAAAAATAGTTTTCTTTCATCATGCTAAAATGTTGAGCATTTTTAAGGTTTCATTCAAATTACAAGTCGCTTTGAAAATTGTCAACTACTTGGTTTCTGAACCAAATTTTGGTTGATTTGTGTTTAATTACGATACTATTGATAACGAGATATAATTATTCTTTCAAGCTAATGATGCTTGTTTCTCCATTTTGTTTTAACTCAATAAGCAGGGAATTGTTAAGAAAGAAACACATTTTACGTCACAGTGCCCTGCAAATGAAATTATGTCAAAAATTGAGGAAGCTGCCAAGCCTCTTGGATTTAATGTTCACAAGCGAAATTATAAGGTTATAATATCTCTCAGCACTGTTATTACCTGCATTATCTATTTTCCAAGAGCTATCTTTCATGTGATCGATTTTTGTAAAGGAGGAAAAGTAATGCACTAAATTATTCTCCAAAGTATAAGTATCGAATTAATTTAATGCTTTATATTGGAGAAGAAAAAAAATCAGTCCTTGACTTTGACAAGTATTCATTAGTTTATCAGACAATTTAATTCTTGAATTTAACGACCATCACAAATTTAGTCTATAATTGACAGTCTTTTTTCGATTTGGTACTTGACAATGGGGATAAATTGATAGATACACAACAATGTCGAGGCTAAATTGATTGATCATGTATACAAAATATTTAGGACTAAAATGATAGATAATTGCTAAATAACGTAGATCAAATCAGGAACGAGAATGATTGATAGTTATCAATTCCAAGAACTATTTTTTTTCCTCATAATTTGAAGGACTAAAATAGTCGATGATTATAATTTGAGGGGTTAATGTAATCTGAAGAAGAAAACTATGTTGCAGACTATTCATACTTAATTAGATTTAAATTCTGCAGATGAAGTTGCAAGGTGATAAGAGCGGAAGGAAGGGTCACCTTTCAGTGGCTACAGAGGTACTGAGCCATACCTTTATGATTGTAGGCATTTTCTGTGGTGTACTCAGTTGGTAACGAATTGTGTAGCTAAGAATAATTATTCAGTTTCTTCTTCTGTTGCCTATTTCATCTAACTGCTTAGCTGGTGAAATGGATTCTTTATTTTCTAATTTCTGGTCAATGGATGTAATTGACCTGACTTGTGTTTGTCACCATTGAATATGGCTTAATAGCAGCAAGAACTTGTGACATTGACAGAAAACCCTGATGTGTGTGTTTAGATCGGAGGTGAGTTGAACGCACCATGATTTTTGGAAACAACAAATAGATAAAAATCATGGGAAATTCACCATAAAGCAGCTATTTGTTTCTTGAAAAATCATGGTGTCAATCCAAAGATTCCAAACACACACCAGACCCAATTTTAATTGTGGTCGATACCTTATTTCTTTTAACCAATGGCAAATTTTATAATGATTATTTAATAAACTTCATACACCAGAAAAAAAGTATCGATTATTTGATTCCTGATATTTTTTGAAAGCAAGTACAACCAAAATTGTGAAAGGAAATGTTACGATAGATTTTCAATGATTTTGCTGTGACACGAAATAACTGGTTCAACTGGTTGCCTATGGTTGCAGGTTTTTGAAGTGGCTCCTTCCTTGCACATGGTAGAGCTGCGAAAGACCGGGGGTGACACACTAGAGTTTCACAAGGCATGTGAACATTTTAATTGTGATTGTGGTTTTAGGGAACAAGAAAATAAATCTCTTCATTTTGATCTTCTTTTCTGTTAACCATTTTCTTTGGCAGAATCTATGTTTCTAATTCTTTTTCAAGCGATGGCTTCAACATTTTTTTATAAAGTCTGTTCCATTTCCTATGTATATTTTAAGGAGGGAACAATGACATCATGTCAAATTGTGGCTAACCTTATTTGTTGACTTATTTGCAGTTCTACAAAAACTTTTCATCAGGGTTGCAAGACGTAGTGTGGCATTCTGAAGCAACAACATAATGAAGAATCAAGGTATTCTCTTGAAGTTCACATCGTTTATAGGTAGAGTTAAGATGTTAGTTGTTAGCCTTATCAACTTCATTTACTGATTTTCTGACCGATTGATTCGTTTATTATGCAGCAGGGGTACAACAATGTACTTATTTTTTGTTCATGGAAGATATAAGGCTAGCTAAAACAGGAGCATGCTGAGTTGGGAGAGTCTGGTTTAGTGTTTGATAGGAAAATAAATCTTAGATCGTCCAGAACTTAGGTATATATTTCCTTCAACTTCTCATCGATACTCATGATATTTTGATGACCTTAATTCAATGAATCAAATAACTGAAAAAAAAAAAGAAGTTATTGTTGCCCAAACAGAGTGGTGTAAAATCTAGTTTTTATTTTCTTTAATAAAAGAAACTAAATCATAATGAGACTTTGAATATATAATTGAGCAATAACAACAATAAAAGTCTCATCTAGTAAGGTATTGCATTAAAAATTATATTAAAAATTAAAATTAAATAACCCACTCGCTAGATTAAAAAAAAGGGGTCATGATGTCAAGATAAAATCCGAAAATGTCACTCCTAACGTTCTCCTTTCAACATGTTTCATGCAAATAATGACTTAATGATTAGCCATATCATCTTTAATTAATTGAAATTATAACCATCACTAGACAAATATTCCTCTCTTTTTTTAAAAACTTTATAATTCTCATAATTATCAAGATTTGAGACACATTATAACTCTCAATTTAAATTGCTAATATGATTATTTTTGCCCAATACCAATTGTCATTATGCATTAAATTCAATAATTATAATTCAATTCAAATCATAAAAATAATCACGATAATTTTAATTAATATAAATTAAAATTAAATTTAATTATAACAATTAATGTGAATTAAGACACAATAATCTTCTCAAAATTATAAACATACATCCACAATAAAGATCAGAACAATAACAAACCATCAATATTGTAATTATATTCATTCCCATATATTTTTATTTTATAAATATGTTCGATTAAAAAACATATCAATTATGAAAATAGAGATTAAATATAGAAGATATATACATTTAATTGAAATAATCCAATACAATTGAACTCTATAGTCACCACAACTGAAATTTTAAACAATATACAAATTCATTCATTTAAAATAAAACAATAATAGATCATTGGTCATTAGCACATATATATGATTATATTCAATTTAACAATAGTAGGTATATAATCAATTGCTTAAATAAAAATTAATGGATAACGAGGATTTAATAAAAAAAAGAAATATACAATACTTGATAATTTAAATTAATAGTTAAAATAAAAATAAGTTAATTAACAAGACTATAAAATAGACTCTAATACCAAATATAAGAAAAATAAAACCTTAGTCCATAATTTATAATAACAAAAACATACCTCTTGTAGTCATTGCTATCAAATTATTAAATATATAACAATATTTAAATATTTAGAGAAATAAAAAGAGTTCTTCTAATTTTTGTTAGAGACCCTCTACTTTATTATTATTATAATCCTTCATTAAAAATTAATAAAATATATTTATTATGACCTTTAATAATTTTTATATTATTCTATAATAATTCTTTATTATCTAATAATTAATTAAATTAATAGGATAATTAAATTAAACATATGAACTATATAATATTTTTTTCCCAACATTGACATATGCTTTTATTTTTTTCTCTTAAAAATGTGTCAACTTAATACTCGCATGAAACTAAGAAAGTTGTTGAAAAGAAGTTTGGAAGAGACATTTATGATGTCTTGCTTTTGTTTTATTTCTTGGAAATGTGCTAACTCACTTCCTGCATGAAACTAACGAAAGTTGTTGAAAAGATGTTGGGAATAGGCATGCCAACGGGCGGGGCGGGGCGGGTTTTACGTTCTCCATCTCCGCCTCCGTAAATTTAAACTGCCCCTCGTAACTGTCCTCGTCCCCATTCCTGATATCTTTTAGGGATAAAATTTGGGTCCTCATCTCCGCCACTAG